AAAAACTTCTGTTGATGAAATAGCAATAAGAGTCTTTCCACTATTTCAAAGGGTAAATGTCCCAAATAGGGTCCAATATGGAATGTGGAAGATGGTCAAATGGGTTCCAATGATTTGGCTCCAATATTATGCCCCCTCTACACCCAACTCCTTACCCTGACAAGATTCCTTAGATAAATCTTATGTGTCAACTGGTTGAAAGGGCAGTTTGCCTATTAATAGGATCTTGGAGGGAAAATACTAGAGATAAGCCAATCAGTGTATATGAAAGTTAGGAGCTGATTCGGTTGAGAATATTTCAGCTAAACTAGAGCAACATGGTATATGTCTAGTGTCTGTGGCAGGACTGGATGGGACTCCAATTTTTTTTCCTCCCAGCATGTTAAAACACCTTAGAAAATATCAACTGATATATGGTTGCTGCCTGCTCAGGGCTGTGTTTCAAAGGAAGATAAAATTTCATCCTTTTACTCCCAGAGTTTGACCTTGACCAGAATATCCTTGTTTCAAGAAGTGTTTTCAATATCTCCACTTCAAAGGCTGAGGAAATCCTAATCAATCTTAAAGACTTTCTAACAGAAATGCTTGCTAAATAAAAGGAAGAAAATATATTTTGTTCTTTTAAAAATGAATTTCTGTTTTGGAAGGATATATGTCATTAACATTATTTGAAACAGTTTTTCAAACAACCACATTTTGCATTTAAAAAAAAATGTAATCAAGAATGTGCTTCCATCCATGCCTCTCTACCTTTTTCCATTTACACAAGAGAGCTGATAAAAAGGAACATTAACCTGACATGAACTTCTGGACAATTCTTGACATCCAAAATGTAGTTCAGGTCATTTGACACACGTAATCGATTTCTGTTTTTATATATGTATTTCTATAGTCTAGGAGAGATGGGATAGAAGGGATCTAATGCTGAAACAATGTCTGATTCTCATGAGAAATAACAACTAGCATTTCAAAGATTTTCTGTGTAATTTTGCACAAGTTTAAATGGAAATTTTTGAAAGAGAAAAGATTAAGAACATTTACATTTGCTGTGCCTTAAAAGGCCAGTGTTTCAGAAGCATTTAACTATTGATAGAGCTGTCTGGGATTTGTACTTTATTTGGACTAGTCTCAAGTTCAATATCCCATCTAGTATTGATTATTTAAATATCAAAATTCTGAAATGAAAATAACTATCAGAATGGAGTCTTTTTTAATAAATGAAAGTATTAAGTTATCAAATTATCAAGGTGGGCAGTTTAGAAATTTTATGGCTTAAAAATAATGGAAGGGAAGAAATTATTGAAGGCATTTTGTAATGACACATTGTATAAGTTCAGTGTATTCCACTAAATTACTCAATAAAATTGAAGTGTGCCAAAAGGATACTTTTCATTGGTTGTCAGAGCTAAATATTATATATGTCCAGATTCAATTTTCATAAAAATCCTAGAATATAAGATTAAATCTTACAGTTGTCTCTTGAAACTGGGAATAGATCTTAATTTAATGTAATAAATTTCAAATATCCCAGACAACACTAATATGTGATGAGATACCACTTAACATATTGGCTTCATGCCAAATTTTCTCATTTTAAAATATATTCTTGCCAACAATGTAGATAAGTATCGCCCATATCACTATTTTAGCCATATTCATTATTTGAAAATTGTTGGAATTCAAAATCTTTCACAATTTCTTCTTTGGAGTATTTTTCAAAATGAAATGCAACATGAGAAAGGTATTCAATATTTTTTCAAAACTAGGCATTTGGATCATATCAGTTTTATCTTCAACAGTTTGGTTTGTTCCTTGTTTTTTTTTAGGTGAAATATTTTGAAAAGTGCTTATGTATTTGTTTAGTAGAATTGTTTTTTGTATTGTTATTCACATTAGAGAGTGGGTCAGTTCCAACCTAAAATTCCATATTTAGAAAATTCTCCATAGCAAATTTCTCTTCTCATACATGGCTTCAGAGGGGTCTAATAAAATGTTCTATAAATTAAAAGTTATTTTGGATTGTAGGGACAGTTCTCTGAAAAAAAAATCTCTAAACCCAATCCTTCCAGATGAATAGATAATTATAATAAACAGGGCTATATAATCATCCTAGTACATTAATTTCCCCTTCCCCCAGTACATTCTTAGATTTGGCTAAATATAATCGCCATCTTTACAGTCAGCAAATTAGGAGGGTTGGGTTGTGTATTAACTGTCAAATTTGGCTCAGTAACATTGAAGTTAGCTAATTACTCTCTTGGTGTTTTTGGTTATTAATGTGAATCTTCCTACCATTTCATATAATATGAGAAGCATTTGACTCACTGATATTTCTTAAAGGCACAGAAGCCATACATTATATTTTTCTATATTTATATACTTCATCTTTATAGAAATTCTCATGGAGCCTGGGGCTGGGTGTGTTGTTGTTTGTTTCCAATTTATCTCTGCACATATTGATAGAAGACCAGGTAGATGGGCAATGTGACATGACAAGTGTGATTCAAACAGGAATAAAATAAATAATACCGCCATAGTATGCAACTGTAGGGCATAACTTATCCTAAACATTTGCAGAGATACCATACTATGTTCTAATGAATCTTTTTCTAGTGAAATGTCATCATGTTTAATTTTTCCTATGTTAAGTTCACTTTCACATTCCCTAACCTGTCACTTTTAGCACAAACCTTTTCCCCATTGTGGAGAATTAGCCGTGAGCATCACTAAGGGCAACCAAATGCAGTGGAGTAGCTTAGTGGAGGAATTGCGAAGATTGACAGTAGGGAAAGGAAAGATTAGATGATGAAATAATGCTTTTTCCTAAAAATAGTCATTTGCAAAACCACTGATTTAAATGCTCCTGAGATTAAATTAGAGGACCTTTTTCAAAATTGAAAATTTGGAGAGCTTCTGAGTGTATCATGTGGACATCTTGGAAGGCAGAGAAAAGTCACAGAAAGCTGCATACTTACCATTTCTTAGGAGCTGGAAAGCTGAAGCATTCTCTCCCCACCTCTTGGTGGTTGCTCCTTCTATAGACAAGACATTCTCTACTTTGGGAGATGAATAGCCATAGGCTGATTAAGCTTCAATAAATGAAATACCTATTTCAGTTGTTTACCCTTCCCATGCTATCCTGGTAGGTGGAATACCATCAGGGCTGCTGGGTGATACAAAGACAATGAATGTGGCAAGAAGTGATAAGTGCATAATATTAGAAAAGAACAGCAGAAATACAACCCATTAACACAAATCTGCAGGTAGATCTGAACAAAAGCTAATGAATCCATTCATAACATGTTTCTTTCTCATAAGATAAATACAATTTTGTATGTCTCTTCTGTGTAATGAACTCACTTATTTGTCACATGAAATTCACATTTATGTCTGCTCAGTTTTGCCAGCAGCTAGAATGGCTTGGCCAAATGGAGTGATTTTTTTTTTACAACCAAAGCTGAATCCCAGCAGCAGGTGAGGATGAGATCCAACATTGTATGTTGGTCAACCACAAAATGGCCAAGTGTTGTTCCTGAGGTCATGAAACTATACTCAGGACTTGCTCTGATGCAACTGCCTATGATCAGAGACAGGAGATCAAAATCAAAAGAGAGAATTTCACATCTTTAGACCTGCAACAGCAAAAGAAGTCTTAAGATAAACCAGTGTTTCTTGATTTACATTCTGGAAAAGGGAAGTTTTATCACCATTAGAAAGCAAAGGGCTTCATCATCTACCAGAGAAATATTTCCAATTTTTTTCCAAAGTTCTCCAGGGTATGCAAAGCAAACAGTCAATTTCACTTTAACAGGTTAAGTTCAGAAACCTGGAACTGCAGAATCAACAATGAGTCAAGCCAGATGTGGAAAAGGCCAAGCGGATAGTGAGTTTTCCTAGGTAGACACTGTTGGGAGGGGGCATTGCATCAGATGACAGCAACTTATCAGAATCTTTGTAGGATTTCTTTTAAAAAGCGTATTATGTAATTTAATATATTTGAAAATAATAATAAAAATTAGTGCATTTATGCTGCAAACTATAAAAAGCAAGTTTTATAAAATCTTCATTGGTAGATATATTTAATCAGAATCTTTGAACAAGTTAAAATTTGCTCATAAGAAGTATAGAATTATTGGGCCACAGCATTTTGCCAAAGATTGTTAAATGGTCAAGGGTTCTCTGTTCATCAAATTACTCATTTGGCTGTTCAAAAAGGTCTATTCTGACTGCTCCTTTTGTGTTAAACTGAAGATTTGTACCCAGAAGAGATATCAATTTAAGACATATCAATTTTTTGTTTCAAGAAAACATTTAAATTGTACATTATTTCCTTAACACATGAAAATGTGCCACCTATGACCATATAATGTTATAATGAATTCTGTGGAAAATTTTAGGGATGGATGTTCAGATGGATAATATATCATTTATGTGTACCTAGTGCACATATTCTATTATAGTAAGAGATCACATTTGTTCCCCAAATGATTATTCCATTTGTGGTGTCATCTCTTCCTTTGCTGTTTTGATTATATGAAATATGAAGTCTATAACTTATAAAAATAGTCACATTATTAGTGAAAGGAAAAAAGTTCTCCTGGGAATGAAAAGGAATACAGTGTAGTATACTGAAAGAACAATTTACTTCGGTGTCCCTTGGGAAATAATTACACTTCCCATGATCAGTTTTATTTGGGTTGAAGGATTTGATTTAATACACTGCATGCTAAAAAGCTGCCTGACTTGCAACTGTTTATGGGTTCATTTTCTTGGAGGCAGGAAGGATGAAGATAGAATTGTACTAAAAAGATGTAAAAAAATAGTGAAATGGAGGAACATCCAACATTTATCTCAGCATTATAGGACAGACAAATATTCTGGCTCTGTGTCCTCTTGGGACATTAAAAAGAGAATGTTGCATTACCATAGGGTTGACATTTGCAAGAGTTTGAATACTGGGTGTCTCTTTCATCTGGATGAGGATACCAACTGCACAATAATACCTTTTTGGTTTTTATTTCTTCAAAACATGAAAACAAAAAGATGAAGTCAATGACAATGAGAGAAAACATTGCATACAGACTATGCTGTATCACTAGTGATTAAATCAGAAACAATTAGAAACTTTATTGGTCTGTGTCAATATGTGTACCATTTATAAGGAACAGCACAATTAGTGCATTTCCCCCCTAAAGCTGTGCACAATACACACAAAATAAAATAATCAAACAAATCAAATGAAATAATTTTACACAACTATAATAATAACAACCCTGAATAATGAGAATCGTATTTTCTCTATAGCATGAAAACTGAAAAGGCAAACAAACCAAAATGTTTCAAAATTGAAATCCACCAACAGCAAGAATTTCTTAAGGGTTCTTTTAAAGTGAAGATTCACTATGGGATTACTGACATTCCAAATATGGCTAGAAATGAGTGGAAAATCTTTCTAAAGTTTAAATACCTTGTATCTCTTCCCTTATTTACTTGGTGTTTCTAGGCTAGCTTTCCATTTTTTAAATCTTGGTGGGGGGGGGGGCGGAGGAGTGGGTTAGATGTGTCCCTAAAGCAGTCACCAGTGTTGGTTGTCAATGACAGGTCAGAGATGGGTCCTGGAAAAGTACTGTTGCCACATGGTAAAAACTGAGGTTAACTGGGTCTGCTCAGTGATGTGTATCACCACATGATTGCCTTTCTTGGTTTAAAATGGGGAGACACACGTATCTGCAAGTTGGCCAAGCATAAGGAGGGTATTCTTCAAATCTAAACTTTACATCCTCTTAAAGACAATCTTTGATATTTGGATAATTTTATCTATACAATTATGTGTTTATATTAAACATTTTCATAATTGTGTTCATCCTTGCAAGATAAAACTGTTCCCATATGGTTGTGTTAACTTTTACTCATGGAAATAATAATTGGATTCTCTGTGTACCCTGCTGAGGGCAGGAAGCTGGGCTGCCTTGGTCATGCCTTGGGCCCCAGGAAACAGTATTCTACCTGGCCTGTTGAGTGGACAACCAGCATTTCATTATTCACTCCATCACCAAGCATTTAATAAATGGTGAATGGTCATGATTACTGAGTAGATGAAGAGAAAATAGACCTCAACAATGTTTCTTTTTTCGTGTCTTTGAATGAATACAGAAGGCCAGGGATGCCTCCGGCCTGGATTTCCTTAGAGACTGAGAAGTCTCTGAGAGGTGAACAGTCATTCCAATTTTGCTCATTAGTGGAATCTCTTTTTGGAATGTTGGGTTGATCTACACTCTTTGGTATTTTGAAATAGAAAGAGCCATTCCTTTTCAAGGGTTAAAACCTCCCAGTGCAATCCTCTGGGAGGCACTAATCTCATTTAATTACCTTCTTTTCATCATAAGTAGAGGAGAAACACTTAAAGGCCCATTGGTTATCTTGGCTTCTTTCCTACTTGGGAACTACTGATATAATTAGAGGAGTCTGGACTGGATGGTGAAAGAAACAGGACTCAATAATGCCTTTTACATAAAAAAATAAAATGAACAGACCAATGCCATCTAACATCTGTGCCAGACAGAGCAGATGTGCAATAAATACTTTGGGGGAAGGGGTGTTGTGGACATGGTGGTTCTAAAAGCCAGGCATATCCCACGCATTCACTTCTCTCCAACACCTTTCTCTTTGGCCTTCCTGAATTAATGGGTGATTCACAGAGGCCTCTGATATGTTCCACGTGGCTAATTTTCCATAAAGATCTCTGTAGGTTGCCTGCTAGCCTCTCAATAACTTTAACTTTTCCCACAAGACTGTTATTGCTTCTTAGAATGAATGTGCATGAAAAAATGAGCCATTTTTCTCCTTTTATCCCTAGTAATAATCAAACTCAATAACAACATGAAAGCAACAATTCAGGTGAAAAGAAAGCTCACTTATGTCTTCAACGCCCAATCAACGTTGCTGAATGGGAGAACAGTATATGCTATACTCTACTATATACAGATACGCTTTGTTTTGTTTTGTTTTTCATCCATGCACTGTGTAACAGGTATCACAACAACATTCCCAAACAGGCACATGAAGAAGGAGCAAATGTTCAGTAGCGACTGGGACAGGATTGTGCGAGCCACGGATACTTTTGAAAATAAAACTGACGGACAATCCCAGGCAGCAGCAGCAACATGGGACTGGGACACATATACTGATGCAAATGGAAAAGGATGATGTGCTTTTTGAATGGGATTATTCTTCCTTTTTGCATGGAGAGTGGGTAAGCAGGAGGAGGGCTGGGATGGGACACCTGGGGAGTTACCTGGGTTGGAATGAATAGGGCCTTGTGAATCATAGTCCAGAGTTCAAGAGATAAGAAATAAAGGGTTTTGCATGTTCCTGGGAATCTAGGCACATTATCCTTGTACCTGTTGAACAAGAGTGCCAGGCACCGCATCCTTCAATAACAGACTATATCAAGAACCATCGCTTTTCCTGGCTCCGTCCCAGCTCCCATGCTTCTTCTTGGAGGCAGCGTCAGTCTGCTCACATTGTGGAGAGAAGCATGAAATTTGGTAATAGAGTGAAGATGTGCTGTGCTTCTTTCTTCTTCCACGCCCAGATCCTTTCTTAATCCAAAGTCATTTTTAAAGTGTTTGGAGGAGGCGAGGGAGGGGGTATCTTAATGATTTCAATTTTTACCCCAAACCCATTTACATTTGGATGGGTTATCACCTCTCACAAAGAGAAGCGAAAACCCTGACCCTCCCAACAAAACAAAACAAAAAGCAAAGCCAAACATCAGCCACCTCCTCAACCCCACTGAAAACAAAACAGAAAAACAAGAAAACAAATCAAAGCCTTAACAATTTATGAACCTGGAGAGAGTACAGCTCTTGTAGGCCGAGCTGCAAATATGGCCCTGCCTCTGCGCCTTGTTCAGCATGATGATGCCTCTGGGAATGGGAGGTGATGGTTTCTGACTTTGGCCCTAGTACAAAGTATGCTCTTGAAGCTGGATTCCATCAGCAGGTAAGTGAACATGACAAATGTCAATTTCCTCTGTTCATTATACATAATTTTTATGTATATATATATATGTATATATATATATATATAAATTTACTATATTTGATGTTCCTTTAGAAGCCTTTTATGTGGCAGTAGGCCTCCAGGGAGGAGAAGAAAATGTACAAGAGCCACAGGAGCACAAAGAGGCAGGATGTAAGGAGCTTGGCAGTCCGGGGCCCACCGAGCTCACCTCCGATTTCTGGTCTCCGCCGATAAAGCAGCACCCCCACATTGATGAAAGCAAAAATGGTGAAGAGAGTGACAGAGAAAGCTAGTGTGCCAGGAGACACTTTGAACTGTTCCCCATTGGCTGCGTGGTAGATGGCAGCGATGGACCAGGCCACGCCGATTCCCAGGAAGACGTTCACTGCGTTGCTGCCTGTGACGTTACCTATGGATGCATCAGCATACTGGTCCTGAGTGGCTGCCACTTTGCTGGCAAAGGTGTCTGTAGAAGAAGAAGAAAAAAAAGGCAATGACACTCAGCCTTTTAAAGATGTCCACAGAGTGCTGGGAGCTTCTAGTGTGGGGTCTAGAACGAAACCGTGGTATAAACCCAGGAACCCAGAGTGAGCTTTGATGTTCCTTTGATTCACGTGGTGAAAAGAACAGGATCTAGATATCAGGAACCAAGGGCTTGGTGCTGTCTGTGTTACTGAAGAAGTGATATTCCTCCAGTTCTTTATCCACAGATACCATCATTTTTTGTATACTGAGCTTGCAGGGCAGTATTTTTCAGAGAGTAATCCCAGGCCACCTACACCAGAAACCAGTGGGTCCTTCTATGGGGTGAATGTTATAAGCTGCATTGGGTCATAATCACTGGGGCTGAGGAATCTATTTTAACAGTATCCCAAAAGATTCCACGTCACTACAGGTGAAAATGGGTTCTGGTAGGGATTACTAAAAGATGCTGTGTCAGCAGCTCTTATTTATAGATGAGAAAGTGAAAGTGTCAGGAGAGATTTCCAAAGATTCAAGAGCAAGTCAATAGTAGAATTGAAAAGATTCAAATTATAATAATAGCTGACATTTGCCTAGAGCCTTTGAATAGGAAAGTGGATTCACCTATATGACCACATGGACTGTGATGATGATTTTATGAGGTGAAGAAATGAGGCTTAGACATGATAAGTAATGGGTGTAAATCACACAACTGCCAAGAATTTATGGAGGGCTTGAGCTCTGGTTTTCTGTCTTCAAGGCGCATGCCTGCCAATTGAACCATCTCACTTTCTCCGTGCCATAAGTACCAATGAGCATCCTCAAAGCTCTTTGTTCACCAACAGTCCTGAATGTATCTTTTTATGAATATAGGGATGTCAGGGTTCACTATTGGGGGTGGGGTGTAGACCATAGTAACTTACACCTTTTGATGAGTAGAACACAGAGGTTTTATCTTGCCTTTACAACTGAGTGTGTGGTCCTGGGCCTCAATTCCTAATCTGTGACAATAGAATACTGATACCCACTTCAGACTGCTACTGTCAAGTTGAAATATTATGTGTAAAATGCCTTCTATGCTTCTTGGTAAGAGTAGCTCTTATTGTTGTTTTGGAAGATAATGTCAACAAGGCAATCTATAGTAGTTTAAAACCTGGGCTAGGATCTGAAATATCCCCTTTTATTAAGCATGTAAACAGAACTTGCAAGAAACTAAATTTAGGGCTAGAGGTGTAGCTCAGTTGTAGAGTACTTGTCTAGCATTTGGGAGGCACTGGGTTCAATACTCAGCACGACATAACAATAAATAAACAAGTAAAATAAAGGTGTTCATCTACAACTAAAAACATACATTTAAAGAAACTAAATGTGTTGTCTATATGATGCCAAGATACTGGCATCAAAGTCCTTTCAATGACCTGTGCAAAATTCCTTGCTTAGTTTGTTTATAGTAGATGTTAATAACAATCAAATTTAACTCACACTTGCAGTCACTAATGGCCAAGTACTATATTCTTCAAAGTGCTGTATCCATTCTCTGGAATTCCTGAGGCTCCTAGAATGCTCTGTGCAGGCAGATAGTTGTATGCTACCTGGTCTAGTTTCTCTCCTCTGTCGTTATTCTGTTGCCACAATTGCTCCTTGGTAAATAGCCATGGGGGACAATCCACAAAGCATGAAAGTTTATACGAGCCTATAGATTCTCTACTTTATGATGGGGAAGAAAGTTACTTAGGTCGATTGGAGGCTATTGCATCTGAATATCACATTCTTTCTGAAAGGGAATTGATCAGCCCCAAGGGCCTGTCTCATTGATTATGACCTCTGTCTGTGATGGAAAGTAGATATTGCTACTCTTTTATAATTAAGGCAATAACTGTTTATTCTATGCCAGGCACTACGCTATATAGGTTTTATGTATATCCTCATTCAACCCTTTCACAGCCTTAGGGACTGGGTGTTATTATTCCCTGTTTGTAATTTCAGAAACTATATCATTGTGATAGTATGCCTCAGAGACCAAGTCTTGATCAGCCAAATGAGAATTTTTAAATCAAGTCTGTTTGATTTTAAAGTCCATTCTCAGTCCATACCATATTGCCCCTCCCAGGAAGAATAAAAGGTTCCTTTCCACTTACTCCATTTAGGTTGCCCTGTTCCTTCCATTCAGAAACTTTGAAGCAGGTTCTCAACAAATGCCCATTCCTATTTCAGGGGAACAGACTAAAGAAGGTACAGGCACTTGGCTAATTCACCTGCTTGGATTTGTGCTGCTTTGTGCCTTCATGGTCACAGCTTGCAGCCCAGTAGGATTATTACAGGGACTGATGAGTAAAAGCAAAGCCAGACAAATCTTAATGGTCTCTTGCATTTCATTATTAAGAGTTCTTCAAAGGTGCTGCTGCAGCAGTGTCAAAAGGAAGGAAAAAAAAATCTTTTGCTTTTCTTCTTCAAGGACAGGCAGTGGAGCAAAGAAAGTAAAAGAACAAGAGTCTAAGGCAGGAGAGGGCAGTTTACAGCTCAGCTGCTGCCCAGAAACACCTGAAACATTATTCTGAGCTAGCCCTGGCTGATGGTGAACAGATGGCCACATTAGGCAGGGCCCTTTTGGGATGTAGGTAGTCTGCTCATATGCTGTAGGGACAGGTGACCTGGCTGTTGCATCGCACAAACCTGCATACATCCCTGGCACATGGTACAGAGCACACTGTCCTATCTCCACTCAGAAACCCTGACATTCCAGATGGCAGCCTTTACCTCTGCACCAGAAAGGAAAGAGGTGTAAAGGTCAAAGAATCCTGGGTCCAGAGGCCTGAACACCCAGACAAGGCCTACACCCTGAAACGAAGGGCATACCAGGTGTGTGGCAATTTCCTCCCCCTCCAGCTATTTTTCAATAGCCTATTTATGTGAATATTACATGAAAATTCTTACTTGTAAAAATAGGTTCCTATTTTCAAATGCTTTTCTCTAGAGTCCCTAAGATTTAGGAGCCAAACTGACTAGCTCATCACATAAATAAAACATGTTCTGGGCCTCTTGGAGTCTGGTAGATTTTATTTACCTGGATTAGGCATCAGCCTTTTGTCTATTTTTAGTTTCGACTCAAAAAGTATGTTTTAAAAAAATTGTAGGAACACATGCAGATCCAAACCATTAACCTTAGCTCCAACAGAGATAACTCTCTTCTCCAAATGAAGTGGGAAGGAATCTCCCCAAATTACCTTCTATTGCTGCTTTGCTGCTTAGTGCCCAGAGAAACACATCCCACGCCATATGTTGGGCACCACCAGCTCCTACCCTCAACACTAAGCCTGGAACCTGCCTGTGGTCGAACAAGGCAAATGCCTTTTCCCAAAGTAAAATTCAAGAAGTAACTGCTGCCTGGTCTCAGAAGGATATAAACATATTCAGAGCTTGGTTCATTAAACACAAAAATAAGGGAGTCATATTTCTTACGTGATTAGCCTAAATTAAGACATCTTGACAATTCAGTGCGTATGTGTGTTTGTGTGTATTTATATGCCCACACTATTATGAATGTCTTATATATGTATGAGTGTATGTCTCTCTCTCTCTCTATATATATATTTTTCCTACATATACACCCAAGGTTAGGCTTCTGATTGTAATTTTTAATTCCAGCCTTGATATCTAATACATCTTCAATTAGTTTTATAGTCTCTGACTTTTGATTCTATCTTCTTGATACATATAACTGTAAATAAGAGAAATTTTGTTTAGACGGCAACGTGGCTCAAATGGAGCCATATATCACAAAGTTGGGACAAAACTGTTCTCTGTAGACCTGGTTCAAGTTCACTGTATATAACTTGGTCAAGTCACTTCACTTTTTTAGATTATAGTTTCCTCACCTAAAATGAAGAAATTAGATGAGAAGATCTCTAAAACTCTCTCTACTCTCACTGTTTGGGTAGTCAGCAAAATACACCAGAATACTAAATCCATATATACACTTTTGATGCTGTTTTCTTTCTGTACAAGCAGTACATGATTGCTCTTCTTCAACAGAATTGACTAATGCTATTCTCATTGAGCAAATATATTACTTAAGTGAAGTATATGAAGATCTTGGGAACAGAGATTTCAAGACCTAAAGATTTTTCCATTGATCAAACTGTGATAACATTTATGAAATTAAATCACATAGCAGTATTTTGCTTTCTAAAATTAGGTACAAAATGTTGTCAGAATTATTTACTTCAGCTCACTTTATCAGTCATCTCTTTCCATGAGGGAGGCTGTGGCATAAATGGGAGCAGAAAGGCCTATATTTCAAAGGCTGTTTAATGTCACACTGTTGCATCAGAATTACTTGGAGAGCTGGGCATGGTGCTACATGTTTGTAATCCCAGCAGCTAGAGAGGCTGAGGCAGGAGCATCAACGTTCAAATCCAGACTCAGCAATTTAGTGAGACCCTAAGGAACTTAGACCCCATCTCAAAATAAAACATAAAAAGGGCACGGGATATGGCTCAGTGGTTAAGTGTCCCTGGGTTCAATCCATGGTACCAAAACAAAAACCAAAATTAGTTAAAGAGCTTTATTTTATTATTATTATTTTAAATGTAGATATGGGGTTCTACCCTAGACCTACTGTAGATTCTCTGGGGAAAGGAGTCAGGGACATATCTTTTAAAAAATGGCTTGGTTAGGGGAAGGTTAGAGAACCAAATTCTAGGACATGGAAATGGGAGGAATTGCTTCAAGTGTCCAGTTTGGGGGGTCTTTCTGGGAGGATGTTTGCATTTCAGGAAAGCAGATAACTGGGAAGAGGTCAGCTGGTGTCTCTCAGAAATGTTGGTGCCCTCAGATAGGATCCTTTTGCGCATAAACCAACTTGGGTGGGCTGGATAGAGGTGCTGGGGCTGTCTAACTCTACTGCTTCCCTCTCTTCTTGTGCTATTTTAAAGTCTATTTCAGCACAGCTATGCTGAAAGGCAAGGTAAGGGGAGGAATCCACCAAAATCAGTTGGATTTTCG